AATCATAAATCATGTTGAGACAGCATTCTTTTCCATTTGTTTGCACTAAATACATCAATGTGATTAGCTTTACTGTAACAATCTGCTTCAATGCTTTTTACCAGAGCACTAAAAGTATTTCTATTTGCTTAAGTACTAGCTTCTGATTTGCTGATTTCCTTTTTCAATAGATTTATTAATTAGATTCAAAAGGCACCCTACTTCCTGTCACACTGCCCTCTTGCATCCCGCTAGAGATTTTTATTATTCTCTTTTTCTGTTCTCTCCTTGGATATCAATGCTTCCCAAGCATCTTATCATTTTTCTCCTTTCTGAGAAGACATATTTATCTGGCTAGAAGAATGTGGGGGTTCCAAGGTTTCAAAACTATGGATCAAGTCCAGGCTCTACTTTATGCAGAATGCAAACATCTTTCTCCTGTGAAAAGCCTCTCTCACCTTTGTTAACACTGCTTTTTAACTGCAAAGGGCCAGAAAATGAAGATGTGCCATGTTTTTGAGAGAGTAGTAGGTGACATTTTACATTTATTGAATAATAAAGCACTGATTGTACTTTCATGTGGTTTATTAAGCACATTTATATACATTTTATATACTTGCATATGCTATTTGCTCATTAGTTTAAATAATTATGATTTAGGCAGTAGAGAAGCCAATGAGTTAAATAAAGAAAGGGAATGACTTCAAATAAAAAATTGAATTGATTGCTATTAAGTGTATCATGTGCGAGCCTCCAGGACAGAAACCATTACAGAAGGTACTGCCAGATTCTATATTGCTTTTGCCTGTCTTTCATTCCAAACAATTAGAAAGTTGTAAATGGGGAACCGAGTGGTTCCGTTTGGCCTGATACGTTGTAAGAGAGTCCATAATGGACATTCTCAGTCCAAGCCTTGTATACACCGGTAATTAATTTCCATAAATGAATTCACATTTGCCTTAATGGGAACTGGCTTTGTTTTCTGGGTATTGATAGGTTCACTAAGGACTGGATGTAACTCAACATCCTGAAAGAAAAGTCTTCAATACCCATGTTAGCCCCCAGACAGAAAAAATGGGAAATAACTTGAAAGAAGTGATTTATTCCTGAGATTACATGTGTGTGTGTGTGTATTATATTATACAAATAGTATATGTGGCATTTTTATTATTCACCTACTAGTCCTGGATAATGAGAATTAGCTTCTAAGATAAAAAGCCCTTAATTTCAATGGAGCATGCATCTGCTACATTGATAACGTATGTCTTTTCATTAACGATTTATTGACTTGTATTCTTGTCATCATATATCTATATTTAAAAATACAAACATTTGCAAAAATCCAATAATAATATTTGCAAGAAACTGGAAAAAACCTTAAGATACCATTTCATATACTATGGTCTGCAATAATGATTTTAGTTCAATTTTGTCCCCACATCTTATGCCAAGAAAGCCTGATTTATAAAGCATGTTATCCAATCCAGAACCAGATAATACTGGAGATAATTACTATGCCTGGTTAGAGTTTAAGAGCAATTTCCTGAGGTTCCACTTGTAAAAGTGAAAGAACACACATTGGAATGAGTGCCGGTTAGCTACATTCTAAAACGAAAGTAGGGAGTTGTTGCACAAAGCCCATTTTCCAGTATCAGCTTAGATAATAACCACACTATTCCTGATAATGCTATAAACTCTTTCATAGGGTGATTTTACTATGTGGGTACACAAGATCTTTTTAAGCTTTTTAAGCACGAAGAACTAAATCAATCATAGTCTAATTTCATATAACTTATTTACAAATACAATCAGTGCTTTATTATCCCAAAGTGGAACTTATTAAAATCTAAAGCTACTTGGATTTCCTCTGGAAATCAAACTACGTTTTTATTTCAAATAAGCGAAGAACCATTAACTATATTAAAAACATCTTATTACATTTAGAACATTTTAAAAGAACACTGAAAATTACAGAAACTGTTTAATGTTTTCTTTGAAAGGAACATTCAATGTTAAAGGAAAATAAATTTTGAAGATTTAATGTATAATTCAAACTAAAAACAAGATTATTTCATATTCCTTAAGGAATATATAAACCCAAGAATAATTTTATCCTAAGATAAATCAGTGATAGGGGTAGTAAACCCTGCTTTAAAAAAACTATTATTGTTCACATCTTTATTTTATTTGAGCTTGTCCCGCCTTGAAAATGATGAAATTTTCTTATGAACGTGGGCAAAAGCAAATGAGGAATTGAGTATATTAAAACAAAGATAGATGAACGAATTTAGGCCATTGTTTGGTTTTTTAAAAAGCCACATCCATTTAGCTTGGAGTTATTTTGTGCAAATGGTCAGTTTTAGTTATTTGACTTGGTAATGCATAGCCAGCAGAAAAATGGAAATTTTTAAAGATAAATTCAAATATTTAAAGAAACTTAAATGTTAGGCACCAAAAAGATATATTGTCATCAGGGCAAGTGGCTTTGTGGTAAAGGCTTTGGGCTACTGCTTATGAAAGTGGCATCCCCTATTGGAGTGCTGGTTCAAGTCCCGGCTGCTCCACTTCCAATCCAGGTCCCTGTTAATATGTCTGGGAAAGCAGAAGAAGAAGGCCCAAGTGCTTGGGCCCCCGTCACCCATGTGGCAGATCCAGGTGGAGTTCCTGGATCTTGGCTTCAGCCTGGCCTTGCCCTGGCTGATGCGACCATTTAGGGAGTGAACCCACAGATGGAATATCATTCTCTCTCACTCTCCTTCTCTGTCTCTGAAACTCTGCCCTTCAAACAAATAAATAAATCTTAAAAGATATTGTCATACTATGGTAGAATTTAAGAACAAAAGCTTTTCTCCATTTCTGTCTTAAATAAAAAGGCATACAGTTATTTTTTATCTAAATCTTTATTAGAAGAAAAACAATTCAATTTAAAACAATGTGTAACAACAAATTTCATTAAATATTAAACAGTTTTGTTATCAAAGATATTTAGACAATATGTTCCTAATATTTCTGCACAGCAGAAGCACTCCAATTATAGAGCTCAGACTGTCAAGTGCTCACATAAGTTTATTTTTGGCATAAAAGTTTCTAAATCACATTTAAAAAATGTGATAATAGATAAAATGATAGTAACTTATTGTGATTGATTCTCAAAGCTTTCACAATTCTCATTATGGGACTGACATTCTTTAGGGCACACACTTTTGTGAACTCTTTCTTTAATAACAAGTAACAGACTGAATTAATTTTCTTTAAGTAGTAGTACTAGTAAAATTACTGTAAATTGAGTTAGAAATCATGTTCCTGTTTATATTTGCACAATAAAATTAACATATTATAAGTAAATTGATTATTTTATAGCAAAAGTCCAAAAATGAAACAACATATATAGAACAGGCTTTAATGAAAATCAACAATAATTTATTATGAAGCTGTTCAGGACATGACATCTGTGAGCACCCTCTAGAGGGGTAGTTTCCCTTTGTAATTCCTAGAAGTTTCCCTTTCCAATCTGTAAAACACCGAGAAATGTGGTCTTACTGTATTTTCATAGGTCAACTATAGAAAAAGATTACATTTTAAACTTCTCTTTATTAAAAAAAAAAAAAACACCCAAACCTAACAAGTGTCCTTTCAGGTTTTTTTTTTTTTTTTTTTTTTTTTTTTTTTTTTTGTTCTTGCGTATAGTACACATTCATGAATGTCCACTAGACGCAAGGGAAATTGTTTATACTGCATGATATACTCTAATAGTGAGGATATCAAACACACTGAAATGACAAATGGTTTCCAATCAGTGAGCTAAGAGGAAAACAAATGCAAGAAGACTTGTTTTAATCACTGAATGTTGCAGGTTTTAATTTTTTTAAACAATGTTTGTAAACTTGCCCACAAAAGCTGGGTAATATTAAACAGCCAGTAAGGCACTTTGTCAGAGGATGAAGTAGTAAAGGCTGGATGATTGGCAATTTGTTTAATAGGAAACATTCTATACTTAGCAAAGTCTGGAGCAGGCGGTCTTTTTACTGGTTTACTCTCAAACAGGAGTGGGGAAAGCTTTAAAAATTTTTCTTTCACTTTGTTTACCAATTTTCCCTGCAGAAGAAGTCTTTTAGTTGTAATTTAAAAAATATATTAGGAGCTATCAATTTAAATAATGCATCATTTTTCAATCTAATATTCAAAAGAATACGAACATATTCAACAGGTATTTTCAAAACATCCAAGCCACTCTATTTAAAAATGAATTACAAAACAAAAGATCTCAGTATAAAAATGTTCCATGTTATTAACAATTCCCTTGCGACTTCTGATGGCTTCGCATATTACAATATAAGCTTTGGTATAAAACATGCAAATGCAAGCCAACAAGGTCGTGAATACAGTGTCGCTAAACACAAAAGCACTTATGAAACGAGTGGTGCAGACACGGCAGGTAGGGATAGGTAACAGACCGCTGCAGGATGACCAGTTTGCTCTTCTACCGGCCCTTATTGTGTATACTGTCCTCCGTCAAAATCTTCAGCAGAGATTGAGCCACGAAATAAGGTCTTGCAGCAGAACCATCGTTTCTTTCTAAATCTTCCACTAGGAGGGAGAATGGCACAGAGTAAATACCAAAGCAACACTGTAAGAGAAGTAACATCGCCATCTGCTGCATACTTGTTTTACAGCAATTCAAAATAACATTTGTTAAAAAACAGCACAGTTTGGCATCCACATTATTGTAAACATAGGTATGAGAAAACGATCAGCCCTTGTTATTATGACAGTAAAATACTATTTCATTTTGTGTCCCAGGTCAGATTCTTCTAATATTGCATACCTCTCAGTTGCATGCTTGAGGAAATAAACTGTTACCTTCTGTTTCTCAATTTATTTTCTAACTTAACATATTCGTTCAAAACTCCATTTGCTTTGCCATCAGTATTTTAGATAGTACAGCCTTGAAAAATAAGATTTCTAAAATTTTAGTGTACAGAATTTCAAGTCCTTCAACTGTAAGTTTTGAAAAATGTTACTTTTTTTTCACAGTTTTGAGTTTAATTGCTTTGTAAGAAAATGGATCTAAATTTCTTCTCAAAGACTTCACAAATTTTTACTCCATACACTTCAGTTACATAAAGAAATAATAAATGGGAAATATTTTTCTGTCTAGGTATAAGCCCAGAATTTGGTTAAATTTGCAACTAATTTTTCACATGTTGATTTACATTTTATTCAAGTGATTTTCCAACTTATATGTGCATCAGAATCAACTAGAAACTTTAAAATAATTCACAGGGTGGCGAACATCCAAACACAACATCAGAGTCTTTTGAGTAGGGCGTCTGTATTTGTAACAAGCTCTCTGGCAGAGGTCACTATTCTACCAGGTCCTTGCTGTGTCACCTAATTGTTGAATAATAATAATAATAGTATTAAAATCTAGAAAATAAGTGATCACTCTTCCTTGCTTTGAGGAGAATGAGGATGAAAAAGGCATTTTGCCAAAATGTGAAGCCATAGTACACTTTTGACAATAATAATCTCAAGAAAGTAGTCCAAAAATAAGTTGGCAGTCATTATAGGACCAATATTCTGACAATCTTCCCTCTTCATTGGCTTTTTGCTTTTAGCTGCCATGAATCAGTCTAAATCAGGGTTCTTACATGTCAGGATAATTAAATAAGTTAGTACTTATATTAATTTGTAACACAGTAATACATTTCTGACTCTTGAATGTGTGGATTATATTCAGATCAACATATTACATCAGCATACTCCTTTCTGTCAATTCACAATTGACGCTATATACCAGCCTAGTGTAAAAGCCAAAGAATGCTAAATTATTCAGTGATCTTTTTGGGGTGCATTTTTTCAATAGTTAGCAATATCAAATGCATTTACACACATGGGCTGGATAGGCAAGGTATCGTATGTCAGATTCATGGTTCGCTCTACCATGCAAGACTTAGGCATGGCTCAGAAACCAGCTTGTTGTTCTGGTCAGCAGGGGTAGGGTGTGGTGATAACTTTCCTCCCAAATAAACTCCCTGTAAAGGTACCAGGTTAGGTACCTAGTGAAGGGCCAACATTTTTCCTTAGGATTAAATCTAAAGTGTCTTACTTATCTTTGCTCTTTCCTCACTGAAAGTTGAGCTAAAATGAAACCTTTTGTAGAACAAAGCTACGCAATCTCTTTAATCTAGCAGTACAGGTATGCTCATGAAAAGAAAAGTCACTCTGAAACAAATCCATACTAGTCTTCCATTTGGTGGGAATAGGAAATTTGAGTTGGAGACAAAAGGCATGAGTTATGCGGCATTTTCAGTTTTGTTCAGAATATTTTCATGGTAGCCAGCAGTTTCTATTATTGGAAATGACATTTCAGAACTCATATTCAACTTCAATACAAATATAATTTCACTACAGAAGAATGGCCATAAAGGTTTCACAGTCATTTTAACCCAATAATGCTCTCTGTAGAAACTATGTAACATTAACAACTATATGTTTGTTATGAACTTGACTCACTTACTGAAATATACTTCCTAGGGAACCATTAATACAAGTTTAATCACAGTTTAGAGAGTTGTCCACCAGCTTGAACAGTATAAATATAACCATAGCACCATATTTACACATGTAGTACCATATGCTGGTTAACTATAGGTCATTATTTTTATGGCTAATTGATTACACATTTATAGTGCTTTCAAAAATTGCCTGAATATCCTTTACAAATATACAGTTATAAAAAGAAAGGCTATCAAAGTGCTGAATGGAAACAGCACGCTGAGTTAAAAAAGTTATTGAAACACTTTCGGCTAAAGATTTTTAAAAAGGTTGGACATTAATACTTTGCTCTTCAGCTGGGTCCAGTCTATAAAAGTCTTCTACTTCACAGAGGCCACTGTCATCAAAAGCCTGACAACTCAGATGGTGTCAGGTGCTGACTTTTGAGAAATAGCACAGAAATTTCACATCACTCAGAAACAACATCTTCAAGTCACACTTGACCTAATTTACAAAATTTCAACTTAAAAGTGAGTGGCACTGCTAGGAGCTTTTCTACACTTTTTGCTTCTGGGGCACTAGTTGCTTCCTGAACAGAATGCCATGCAGGTTAGGGGTTATGAAGTAGGGCTTTTCTGCAGATCCATCATTTCTTTCCAGATCTTCACCTGTATGTGCAGCAGTCAGAGCAGGCAAAAGCAGCCAACCACAGCAGAACAAGCGCATGTGTTTTTGTAAATTGGCGAATCAAACGGGGAAGAATCAGAGAAATCCATGTTAGAAAGTCAAATATAAAACAAATTCATGCAGTTAAGGTGTAGATGCTGGATAAGGCTGGATAACGCAAGATGATGCCTCAATCCAGGAAGCACTAAAATTTCCCACTGATCCCTCCCAATCCCAAAGAGTTCGATTTTGAGACTTTAAATGTGAATAAGATCTTCCATGTTTTTTCTTTTATTGCTTTTGTTTGGAGCTTAAACATTTTTTAATTAAGATGTAATACTTGTACGTTTTTAAGAGGTACTGTTCAATCTTGCAACACGTATACACGTGGTAAACGAATAACACCAAGCAATCAGCCTTTCCATTTCCTTATTTTTGTGTTTGGAGCCTACCAGCTCTTCTCTTACTGTTCTTAATAAAGAATATGACATTTTATTGTGCACCAGGATCTCCCCACTGGGCTACGGAATACCAGAACCCTTACCTTCACCCATTATCTTACACTCCCCCACCCTCTTCTCTTATTTGAAATTCAGATAAACTGTCTCTATTTAACTTCCTCATAAGAGAAAGAACATACAGTATCTGTCCTTCTGTATCCAACTTATACCATTTAGCATAATGATCTCCAGTTCCATCCATTTTTCCTTTCATGTCCTTTCTTTCTTTTTTTTTTTTTATTTGACAGGTAGAGTTATAGACAGTGAGAGAGAGAGAGAGAGAGAAAGGTTTCCTTCCATTGGTTCACTCCCCAAACGGCCGCCACGACTGGCGCGCTGTGCCAATCCGAAGCCAGGAGCCAGGCGCTTCGCCTGGTCTCCTATGTGGGTTTAGGGGCCCAAGCACTTAGGCCATCCTCCACTGCCCTCCCAGGCCACAGCAGAGAGCTGGACTGGAAGAGGAGCAACTGGGACTAGAACCCGGTGCCCATATGGGATGCCGGCGCTGCAGGTGGAGGATTAACCAAGTGAGCCATGGCGCCGGCCCCTCATGTCCTTTCAACAGTGTTATTTTTAAATTCTGTGACTGTTCACTTCAGAAACTTATAAATTGCTGCATCCTCAGGAATGAACTTGATAAAAAGTGTACTAATCCTATGATATATGAAAAAAATCATTAAACTTCTAAGTTTAGAATCATTTTTTAAAAAAAGCTTTATTTATTTGAAAGGCAGACAGAGAGAGCGAGAGAGAGAGCGTGAGCTTCTATCCACTGGTTCCCTCCCCATGTGGCCACAACAGCCAGGTCTGGATCAGGTTTAAGCCAGGAGCCAGTGATTCCATCCAGATCTCCCAAGTAGGTGGCAGGGTCCAAGTACTTGAGCTGTCATCTGCTACCTCCTAGGACACATTAGCAGGAAGCTGGACATAGTGGAGTAGTGGCCAGGACTGGAACTGGAACTCCCATATGGGATGTCATTTGTCACAAGTGGTGACTTAACCTGTTGTGCCATAGCATATGCCCCTAGAGTCACTTTTAATGGTAGCCCACATCTGAATGTTATAGATGATGTGTCTAACACCCAGGGATGTAAAATGATTTTACTGAAGTCAAAAACTCTGAAGCAATCGAGATGAGAATCCAGACTCTTGACACCTAGTCCAGTAATCCTATTTAACGCTAAGGTTTCTTGTCCCAAATCCTTGCAACATTCCTCAGATTATACTCAAAAGCTAATACCAGAAGTAGGTGTTTGCACTAGGGGTTAAGATGCTGGCAACCCATATCAGGGTGCCTGGGTTCAATTCTTGGCTTTGGCTTCTAATTCTAGCTTTCTGCTAATGCAGACCCTGAGAAGTAGCATGTAATAGCTCAAGCAGTTAGGTCCCTGCACTTATGTGGCAGTCCTGGATTGAGTTCCTAATATTTTGATTTAGGCCCAGCCCTGACTACTGTGGGCATTTGGAAAGTGGGCCCACAGATCAGAAGGTAGTTCTCTGACTCTTTGTCACTATTTTCCTGTTTCTAGAATGAATATAAAATAATTGTAAAGAGCTAAGACCATGTAATCTGTGAGTTTACCTTCCTGCTTTGCTTAGGCTGATATTAAAGTGATGCTGTGTTTCACTGAGCACCCATCTGCTCGGTGGTTTGTGGGGTGGGGTGGGGATGAGCATTAGAATTAGTGCTGAGATGTAAGGAGAAGTTTATATGGAATTCAGATTCCTGCACAAATGTACAATTCACAGCAGGTGTTATCTAAACTCTTTTGGGAACAGTTGGATTATTGGTTCAGGAGATTACTACATCAGACCTCGTGGTAGCCTTCCTCACAAACAAAATGAGAAGTGAAGGAGAGACATGAAAAAATGAACATTTTTGTTCTTTTGTCCTTAATCTTATTTCTATGTTATATCATATGTTTATATCATTATTACCCTTGAGGAACTGGTGGGAAGCCTGGTCTGGATCCTGTTAGTAATCATATATAACTATTTTTTTCCCTCCCTGGGATTAGGATTCTTAGCGCCTTGATTCTGTAAATGAAGTGTTTGAAATGGATGGCATTTTAAAAACACAAGATTTTGGCACTCAAGATGATAGGTATAAAAATATATTAAAAATAAAAATGTTATTCCACACAATCAGTTTGGCTTGGGGAGTCATTTAAGAAGAATGTTTTCTAAAGTATGATGTTACCCATAGTAACAGCTGGGAAGGGAAGAGAGATACAACATGGTTTCCATTGTTCTTTATTATCAAAGTCACGAGTCTATAAAATGAAATTATTCATGGTCATGTATTAAATAAAGCTGATGTTATACCTGGTTTTCAAAAAGTTTGCATTTGATTAATAAACACGGGTCGAAAATATTCTTTATTGTCTAGATTCAAAATCTACTTCCAAATGTAAAATCTACACAATTAGCTTAAGATTCCAAAGACTGGAAACTAGCAGGTTCTGGTCATCACCTGAGATAAATTTTGAAAGATATTTTCAGTAACAAGAATGGGGAAGGTCACAGAGCCATCTCCAGGTACTGATCCCATGACACGTGCTGAGCTGAAAGAAGAGGTCTTGGAACATTCCAGAGCCATGCCTTTACTGCAGCTTAGGCACTGCCTTCCTCTGGGGCTCCTTTTTCCACCCCACACCTGAACTGCAGTTTGTGCATGTGGTTTTCTTAACAAACTGGAGGCACTAGGAAAAGAAAGAAGCATTCTGGTTCCATTGATAGCCAGAGGAAGAACCATCTGGTACACAATGTTCTCTTTCTTTGCTCAGATATTGAAAATCGATTTTAACATCTTAGAGGATATTCTTGGTGTTTTTTCCTTCAATGTGTCTTCAATGTGTTATCGCCTCTCCTGATGCCAGCATGAAGTTGGTATTGTGGGTTACTCTAAAAAAACCCTGTAATTTTATGCAAATGCATTGCTCAGAAATGCCTTGTCAGAGACTAAGCTTTCTCTGTTTCTCTTAAGAGTAATGTGCCTGACAAATCATCTCTCAGGGCATGTAGCTGAATGGCTAGCAAATTTTGTTCTTTTCCCTGCTGATATGACATTGAAAGTGAGGGCCCACTGAAATTCCTGCTGGGCACCATTTTCTCTAGGACTTTTCAGATCCAGGACCAATATTGGGCACCCATTCTTGGTCCGTGAGTTGTGCATGCCACCTAGGGGCATAGTGTACAAGTCAGTGATGAAAGCTCTAAAGAAGCATTTTATCTCCAAGTCTCTAAAGTGATCTATGTACTTCCCAAACTTGCTCCTTTATAAATTCTATCCAGTGGCTGGCATTGTGATGTAGTGGGTAAAGCCGCCTCCTGCAACGCTAGCATCCTATGTGGGCTCCAGTTCCTGTATCCCAGCTGTTCCACTTCAAATTCAGATCCCTGCTAATGGCCTGGGAAAGCAGTGAAAGATGGCTCAGGTGCATGGGTCCCTGCATCCAAGTGGGAGGCCTGGATGAAGCTCCTTGGCTCCACCCTGGCTCAGACCTGGCTGTTGCAACCACTTGGGGAGTGAACCAGTGGATGGAAGACCTCTCTCTCAATCTGTAAGTCAGACTTTCAAATAAATAATAAATAATTTAAAAAAAAAATAAAAAATAAATTCTATCGATTGTCATGTTACATGGTGAGAAATTGGCCTGTGTGTCTTTGAAACCATTGCTTTTATCAGAATCTGTAAGAGCTCTAGTTAAACTATTCCTAAACCCAGTTCCTAAAGGTCACTTATATCCTCAGTTATGTTAATATAACACAATAGAAGCTTATAATTATTTGACACGTAAAAGCATAAAGAAATGAAAAAATGGCCAGCGCCGTGGCTCACTAGGCTAATCCTCTGCCTGTGGCGCCAGCACCCTGGGTTCTAGTCCCGGTTGGGGCGCCGGATTCTGTCCCTGTTGCTCCTCTTCCAGTCCAGCTCTCTGCTGTGGCCCAGGAAGGCAGTGGAGGATGGCCCAAGTGCTTGGGCCCTGCACCCCATGGGAGACCAGGAGAAACACCTGGTTTTTGGCTTCGGATCGGCGCGGAGTGCCGGTCGTAGTGGCCATTTTAGGGGTGAACCAACGGAAAAGGAAGACCTTTCTCTCTGTCTCTTTCTCTCTCACTAACTCTGCCTGTCAAAAAAAAAAAAAAAAAAAAAAAAAAAAGAAAAAATAACATCATGCTAGCCCTGAGCCATGTAACCTGAGGTTCATTTCAGTAGCTGCCTCTTTTGTTTTGCAAATCTCATTTTCTCAGCTGTTAAAGGCTTTGATTTTGTAATTTTATATTTTTCTCCACACACATATTGAGGTGTAATTGACAAATAGAAATTAAATATATATATTTTTGGGGTCTATAACATTTTGATATATGTATACATTGTAAAATGGTTACCACAATCAAGTTAATTAGCACATCATCGCATAGTTATCTATGCTTTTTTTGTGGTGAGAATACTTATTTTTTTTTTTTTTTTTTTGACAGGCAGAGTGGACAGTGAGAGAGACAGACAGGTCTTCCTTTTCCATTGGTTCACCCCCCAGTGGCCTCTGTGGCCGGTGCACCATGCTGATCTGAAGCCAGGAGCCAGGTGCTTCTCCTAGTCTCCCATGGGGTGCAGGGCCCAAGCACTTGGGCCATCCTCCACTGCACTCCTGTGCCACAGCAGAGAGCTGGCCCGGAAGAGGAGAGACCGGGACAGAATCCGGCGCCCTGACTGGGACTAGAACCCGGTGTGCCCCTCACAGCAAATTTAAAGTACACAATACAGTATTATTAACTATAGTTACCAAGCCCTACATGGGCCTCCAGAACTTGTTCATCTTGTAGCTGCAGGTTTGTACCCTTTTTACCAGTGTCTCCTCATTTTCCTCACACCTTGACCTCTCCCCTCTTCTACCTGGACATCACTCTTCTACTACTTTTGAGTTCAACTTGTTTAGATTACACATGTGAGTGAGATCATGCAGTTTTTGTCTTTCTATGCCTTGCACATATTACTTCTTTGCTGTTCAGGTTTAAAGAGCATCTACTGAGCAAGGTTTCCTTCCATAAAAATACTGTTCTGAAATTGCATTCAGGTAATAGCAATTCTACTAGCCAGCTAACCACATGGGTCTTCATCTTCTCCATTCTCAGTGATCCATGGAATGCAGAAAACACATATACCGAATACTTACAGAAGCAGATGAAAATTGTTTCAATACACATTGCATAGACGCTGAAGAACCCATGTGCAATTAGGTAAGATCCAAAAATGACAGTCTGTAAATAAGAGAACCAACATGTCACCGACTGTGCCAGAAGCACTGTAATCAAGGTATATATGAAAGCCATGATGAGAGAGCTCTGAAGCACTCTGTTGGAAATTATTTTAATAGGCAGACCAAAATATCCAATAATAATGCTTTTGCATGTTTTTGAAATTTAAACTAAATGTGCTAGATTATCTTTCCATTTTCTAAGCACTGCCCCCAACTGTGTACCAAAAATATCCCAGCTTTAGGACACTGTGCACTGAGGCAATGAAGCATTAAGGGTTAACAGCACATGCTGCCTAGGTATGAATCATAGCACAGGCTATAGCTCAAGTTACTTAACCTCTCTGGGCTTCCTACTAGCAATGAGGAGGGGCGTGGGGGCTGGAGAATGTGAGTGATAACAGTTTTATGACACATGGATTGAGTTAATATATTGCAATGTATACCACAGGGCTCCATCCAGATCTGTTCCCCCTGTCTCTTCCCCATTCCCACTTGTTATGAATATAGGCTGCTGATGACTCAGCTGCCTCCCTCACTTGGAATTGCTCTCCCTGCAGGGAACTGCCTCACCCAAAGTCACACCTCCAACCACGGCTCAGCGTGTGGCCAACAGCTGCCTGATAATGCACACATGGGCCCATCCCTTATGCCAGAACTTCCTGTAATTACGTCTGAAGTCAGCATGGGTCAGCTTATCCTGCTACCCTGCCCTCTCTTCCTCACTTCCCTAGGAATGTATCTCAGGAAAGAACTTCCTAATTACCTTCTGCATATAATCTTGTTTTAGGGGTTGTTTCTAAGAAATCCAGTCTCTGAAGCAGAATGGAGGGTGACACAAAGTAAGACTGATACTATTAGCTATTATTTTTTCTATTCCTCTTCAGTTTTGATTTTGCTGTCTCTGGTAAATCATACAGTCAACAACACACAGCTGCTATGGACTGAGTTGTGAGCCCTACAAATTCCTAATCTCCAACACAATGGAAATAGAAGGTGAGGCTTTGGGGCGGAAGATATGAGGTTAATATCCCTATGTGGGATCAGTGCTCTTATAAGAGACACAAATATAAGGATATTGCAAAGTGTACCACTGCACACCAGGAAAAAGACCTCCCCAGGAACTGAACTGGCTGGCACTTTGTTTGATCTTGGATATTCCAGCTTCCAGAAAGGTGAGGAATAAATTTCTGTTGTCCAAGCCACCCAGTCTATGATATTGTGATAGCAGCTCCAACCAAGACACAAGCTCTTACCAGCAAAGGTACCCAGTAGTAATTTAAGGAAGTTGGCCCTTCCACAATTGTTGGCATTCTTTCTGTGAAGAGTAAGAAGGCCAGGACACCTGCATTGAAAAGGCACAGCATGTGGATTGTGCATTTGCAAAGGAAGATTGCTTTTTGTAGTAAAATAGTTTTCCAAGCATCTTTTAAACTTTTAAAATTATTATTACTCACCTATTATCCCACAGACTAGAATTTTCCCCAGGATTAATATAAAGAATGTAACTTCATCTGTCACTGCAACTCTGAGTATCAGAAAAAAAAAAAGAAAGTGTAATTCTATGTTTAAAATACTTTGTTACTTGAAACTTATGGGAGTAAATAAATTATGAGTTAATTTTGATGTGTCTTGGCTGAAATTTCACTTGGAATTTTAAAATGCAAGAAATGAATATAGCACCAAGGAGTTATTTTTAAGAAGTGAACAGAAGATGGCATTGTAGGGCCATTGGGTGCCCTGCAGTGGTGGTGTCAGCCTCTCATTCTAGTTCAAGGTCAAAAGACACCCTGAATCCTGAAAATGCTATATTTGTTCTCTGATTTTGCCCACTCAGGCTGCATCAATTTTGGGAAATGACAACAGGAGGTGAGGACAATGTATTAGACTGGTGTTGCAGAACAACAGCAGGTTAAGTGATGCAGTGCAACCACTGGGGGAGTGAACCAGCAGATGCAATATTTGTCTCTACCTCTCTATTTATAATTCTGCCTTATTAAATAAATAAATAAGTACATAAATAAATCTTTTAAAGAAAACCCCAAAATATAACAATGTGGTCCCTTGGGAATTCCTTGAGTGGAGGAGAAATTAAAATGAGTGAGTGCTGGTGGGTGTAAAGGCAGGTGGATGATGGAAGCAACAATGCAAAGGCATGAAAGTAAATTAATGATATTAGAAAGAGTAAAATCTATTAAATTAAAGATAAGGCCAAAACACTTCAAATAGCATTCAAAGAGTGTGATGCTCAAGGTTCACTAACTCGTCTGTCGCAGTGTTTAGCCTGATTACTTACTTTACAATGTTTCTCATCAACAAATTGAAAGCATCTCTTGCTGATGTGCAGAAGTTTTCACCATACACTGCGATCTGAGGAAGACAGTTGATATTATTCTGGAATCAGTAACATACCCTACCAAGACCAAAGCACAGTCCAATGACAGGAAAACAGCCAAATTAGTACCTGGGAACTGTGTCCTCAACTCTGCCCAGCTCTCATAGTCATTGACAGTAAGCTTGTGTCAAATGCTATATGCCCTTAAATTACAGGGCATTACATAGTGTCAAAGACAGACCTTTTCCTCAACTTCTGGTTTTGAAATGTTTTAACTGGAATTAAATATTATAAACTCCACATTAAAAATTGTTCTTAATGAACATGGAAATGCAGGTATCTCTTTCATATTCTTATCTCATTTCCTTGGATATATACCCACTAGTAGGATAGCTTCTTATGGCAGTTCAATGTTTAGTTTTTTGAGAAATCTTCATACTGTCCTCTATAATGGCTGTACTAGCTTGCATTCTCACAGTGTTGAATGGTCCCCATTTCTCCACATCCTTATCAGTATTTATTATTTTTGTCTTTTTGTAACAGCCATGGTAACTGGAGTGAAAAGAAACTGCATTATGGTTTTGATTTTTATTTTTCTGATGGGTTGTGATATAGAGCATTTTTTTCATGTATTTGTTGGCCATTATATTTATATTTTTTCTTTTGAGAAAGATCTATTCAGATACTTTGCCCATTTCTTAACTGGATTGTGTGTATGTGTTGAAACACTGCAGCATACCCCATTAAATTTACGTGTTAATCTAAAAATTAAAAAAATTAAAAATTATTGTTAAGGAAATAGAATGCCTTTCACTATACTGGACTTTTTGATTAAAATACACAATATAATACACTCATTGGAGATAAATCAATGACTATTTGAATCACTTTTCCAGACCCTGTCTTTGTGATAATGGCAGGTATAAGTTTTTAGCCTCTAACTTTAAGAAGAATTATTTTTCTGAGTCTCTTATTTAAAAAAATCCATAGAAGTGTGCATATTCCAATAGGAAAAAAATTCAGTCAAGCATTGCCAGTGCCCACATAAGATTGATGAAAAGGATTAGGCCCTTCCTTAAAATTATATAAATTCCAGAATTATAAAGAATTCTTCTCAGAGTGAATATAGAGTACTTAAGCTTTCTTCCAACTACAGTATGTTAAAAACACAAACAATTTTCAATCTAGCACACTTTTAAACTCACAAGGTAAACAATATTTTCTCTCTCAAAATAAGATACCGAAGATAGTAATGAAGTATAATTAAGATACTATATCAGCTAAGGAAGTATCTCTAATCATTCACTGGATTCTAATCATGCATTGGATATCTCTAATCATATATTGCATTTATCAACATGTGATAAATTCAATTGTATGACGTGAAACTGTTTTAGAGAGAGCGATGTAGACCTAGGGTTGGGTTTGCAAATGGGAAGCTTATAAATAAGAAATTAACTGAAATGTGATCCCTGTTAAACATAAGAGTGGGAATAAGAGAGGGAAGAGATGTATAATTTGGGACATGCTCAAGCTGACTTGCCCCAAATGGTAGAGTTAGAAACATACCAGGGGATTCCAATTCAATCCCATCAAGGTGGCATGTGCCAATGCCATCTCACTATTCCAAGTGATTAATTTCAGTTCACAATTGATCATAATGAAAGGACTAAGAGTCAAAGGGAGCACATAAACCAGTCTAGTACCTGCTAACACTAACCGATAGAATAAATAAAGGGGAGAGTGATCCAACATGGGAAGTGAGATACTCAGCAGACTCATAGAATGGCAGATGTCCTAAATAGCACTCTGGCCTCAGAATCAGCCCTAAAGGCATTCGGATCTGGCTGAAAAGCCCATGAGAGTATTTCAGGCATGGAAAGCCAAGACACTCTGGCAAAAGATCTCTGTGAGTGAGATCCCAGTGGAAAGAACAGGTCTTCAAAGAAGGAGGTACCTTTCTCTGAAGGGAGGAGAGAACCTCCACTTTGACTATGACCTTGTCTAAACAAGATAAGAATCGGAGAACTCAGAGGGCTTCCATAGCCTTGGAAACTCATGACTGGAGCATAGGGAGATTACTGATGCCATAGACAGGAGTGTCAATTGGTAAAGTCAACAACAGGAGTCACTGTGCACTTACTCCTCATGTAGGATCTCTGTCCTTAATGTGCTGTGCATTGAGATTTAATGCATAACAAGTACTCAAACAATATATTTCACTTTTTGTTTCTATGGGGGTGCAAACTGTTGAAATCTTTACTTAATGCATATAAACTGATCCTCTGTAAAAAAAAAAAAAAAAGAAATTATCTACTCCCAACTTGACTCTCACTGGGATTAAACATGACAATAGGTCTGATCTGATTTCATCATCATTTAAAAAAAATCATCTATTATTTTTCACTTTATGTTTCTGTGTGGGAGCAAACTGTTGAAATCCTTACTTAATGTATACTAAGCTGATCTTCTGTATATTAAGATAATTGAAAATGAATCTTGATGTGAATGGAAGGGGAGAGGGAGTGGGAAAGGGGATGGTTGTGGGTGGGAGGGACGGTATGGGGGGGAAGCCATTGTAATCCATAAATCGTACTTTGGAAATTTATATTCATTAAATAAAAGTTAAAAAATAAATAAATAAATAAAAATAAAAAAATAAAAAAAGAAATAACCTACTTACCATAATATAAGCATTTTTGTTTAAAAATTTTACCACATTTTCCAAACACCAGAAACAGCATTTTAGGCAGCATTGTAAGAATCTTGAAACGCTATTCTGAGCATCTATGAGAAGGAGATATTTAAATCTATTAATGATTTGCAACAGAGTCTTATGAATCAAAATAATCACAAAATATTTAAAATTTTATTGTGCTAAAACAAGCATACTATAAAATTTGCCATTTTAAACCATTATTAAGTGTACAAGTAAATTCATTGGCATTGAGTATATTTAATATATTTTATAAAAATAACTAGTATCCATTTTCAGGACTTTTTATCACCTTAGGTAGAAATTCTATACCAATTCATCAATAATTCCTCTCTCAGTCCCTGGTAAGCTCTATTAAACTTCCAGTTAGTATAGATTTGCCTTTTCTAGGTACCTATGTAAGTGGAATCATACAATAGTTGTCCATTTGTATTTTGCACATTTCATAGCATATTTTATTGAAGGCTCATAATTTGGTTTCTTTAAAAAACACTTTTTCCATTGTATTTGAAAAGGAGAGAGAGAGATCTTTCATTTATTCACTTTCCAAATGTCAGCAACACTGGGCCAGGTTGAAGCCAGGAGTCCAGAATTCAGTCTGGGTCTCCCATGTGAGTGACAAGGACCCAAGCACTTAAACCATCATCTGTTGCCTCGCACATTAGAGGGCTACTGAATCAAGCACATGTGCTTGAATCAAGCACGCTGATATGAGACGCAGACATCCCAAGTGGCATTCAAACCAGTGCACAAATTCTCACACTTCATTCCTTTTTAAGGTTGAATAATATTCCATTGTATATATTCAACATACTTGGTTTATCCATTCATCTATTACCAGAAATTTGGGCTGTTTCCACCTATATTTACTTTCCTCCTATATTTACTTTAGAGAGTCTTATAGTTTAACTCTTTTATTTAAGTATTTGATTCATTTTGAGGTAATTTTTGTATATGGTGTAAGGTAAGGGTCCAACTTCTCTCTTTTGCATGAGGTATCCAGTTTTCTATCACCATGAATTGAAAAGACTGACATTTCCCCATCAAATGGTCATATATATGGGAGTTTATTTCTGGAATTTCTATTCTATTCCAGGTCTATATGTCTGTTCTATGGCAGTGACACACTGTTTTGATTGCTGTTGCTTTGTTTTATTTTGAAATCAGGAAGTTTGATTATTCTACCTTTATTCTTTATTTGCCAGATTGCTTTGGCTATCTAAAGTGAATTCTAAGTAGATTTTATATGCTTGTAAATTATATATGTCATAAATGAAGACTTATGCCTTGAAACCCACATTGTATTTTAAGCCCAACCTGACCTGAGCTTTAGAATAGGAACTGCTACCTGACATGTCCATCATGCTTCTCAACAGTAACTTCTCAACTCTTGTGAAGACAGAGTTGTTAATCTGTTTTTAAAAATTCACCTCTACTGAGTTTCATATTTTAATAAATAAGATCATATACTTAGCCCCTCTTTTTTTCACTACTGCTTCTCCCCCGCCAGCTGAATCCTTCTGCAAGTCTCATTGGGGTTTCCTTCAAAACACATCCCAGACTTGACCACTTTCATCCCTCCTAGTCTAGGCCAAGTTACAGTCATCAGGCTAACCCTCCCCACTGCCCCAAGCTATTATTTTCATAGAAGTCAGGAAGTCTGAGATAAATTCTGGAACCTTACTTTTAAGATGCCTATCCATGTATTGTAGGACAATTCTAAACAACTGAATTAATGCAATAATTAAAGATCCAAATGCTAGGGATCCTGTGTGATATCTGTACAAAGATAAAATGAAAACACAAGTTAAAAGATCTTTATTATTAAGTAAAAGGATGCTAGCTGAAAATTTTTCACAGGCAAAAGGGAAATGCACAAGGAACGATAGGGCAGAGTTTTTGTGCTCTGCTCTCTTATTCAGATTGATAAAGCTCTCCATAGATGGTTTTAATCTACATACTATCTTGCTCTTTATCTACAAAAATAATACCAATAGTCTGTCCTCATAAAAGATGTTTGATAGAGCAGTCAAATTAATCCTTAATCTTTCATATGGCATCCTTCTCTATCTCTTTCCTATGGCATTAGAAAGATATTGGACTGGGTGGAGATTATGAAACTGTGGTTATAAAAAACAGACAAGACAATGGATTTCCATGAATCTTGAATTACACCTTCAGTTTCGCCTGAATTAACTAACTAGCTAAGACTGAGTTATAAGCACACTAAATACAACAGAGGAGAGGGATGGAGTGTGCAACATGAAGCTTACCGTATGGCTCGTCCAAATGCAGTAAAAAGTGGATGTGGTGGGATGTCATCAGGTTTATTCACAGTCCAGTAATAAGTAGCAAAGGCACCAGAAAGGGCACACTGACCCAATGCAATGACAAAATTTATAAGCCAGAGAAAGACAAATAGATTGTACACATGGAAGGTAGAGATGTATTGATGGTACAGACTTTTTCCACCATAGAAAGCAAAGTTACACAAAGCCCCAGGGCAAACTTTCGGAACATCGGTTGTATTAAAAGTCTGCACTCAGAAAAAAAAAAAAAAACACATGAGAATATAATATTAAATACCATTCCAAGATAATACCTTCTTGCCCCTTTCCTCTTTTGTAGAGCCCATAAATGCATGTCCTATTTTTTTCTCTACTGGCTTCTGCTATTTATTTCTACCACATCTCTTCATACACCTTTTTACTGAGCTTTGGAAAGTGCACTGTTTTCTCCAATAGGCTAATCACTCTGCTCCTACCATAATTTCTCATTTATTAGTGCTATTGTTGCCAATACCTTCCTCTTGAATATATGATACGATACAAAAGCTCAGTAAATAATTCTAGTACTTTATCTGCACTTTCCCCTACAGTTCTCAATGCTCTGCTGCTAACACTTGACCCACTCTCCCCTTCTGTAGATAGTGACCCCCATCAGTGTCTAGGATCTCTGCTTCAGAATGATTCCTACAACTGCAAGGTGAAATGTAGAATTCTGTATTGAAGTAAGGAGGTGAGAGAATTTCTTTTACTTACCTCTGGGTCACAGGTTTTATTTTCATGTATACATTGCCCCTGTGGGGTTACAACTCTGTATACAGGTATCCCCGACGTAGCCAAGAAACTGGATGAACTCTATTAAGAATAAACTATTTTTCTGATAGATTGAAAATAAATGGGCAAGAAAATAATGCAGACAGCTGAAAATTTACTGGTGAGTTTTACTTAAAAAAAACTTTGAATATTTTGATAATTCATACAATTTTCAGGTCTAGATTAACATAATGTGTGCCAGCTACATTGAGTGGGCCCTTAAAAAATAAAATATGTAGGAGCTTTGTAGACTATTGCTGAAGAGAAGTGTTGTATGTAACAAAACGAATCTGCCATGTGACCAATATGAAGGGAAATTTAGTCAGTAGACTGATACTTTTTAGGGCTTGAGAAAGAAAAATCCAGTTATTTCCTTAGAAAATCCCTCCTCTTCTCAGGGATAGAAGACACTGGGCAGAAACTTGTCATCCCAGAATAGAAATGTGGACCTGAAGTTTAAAGAGGTTAATTACTAAAGGATACACTGCAGTCACAGCCCAGTAGGAAATACAGATTGAGAGCAAAATGAAGGTTAGAACTGGATAAAGTAATGTACCAGGAATGCATCCAATGGCTCTGAAATAAAACAAATAGTTGAAATTCAAAATGCTATTTGAATCAGAGCTGTATTTTGTCAATTTAACTTTTGTCTGTTGGAACTAGAAATAATGCTCATGCTGAGTTAATACTAAGAACAGTGTTCGTAACACTGACCTTTTTGGTCCGATCATTCTGATCTATTCTTAATGTGTTTCAGATTTTTATTTATTCATCTTTAAAAATAAATTGAGACATTACTCCAGTGTTCTTATGTTTGATTCCTTCCTAAAGTCCCTGAAACTCTGTTCTTTTTGGTTATTTCTGTCTGATCCATAAGTATTTGATGCATTGTAATCATGCAATTTCTTCCTTTGTTTAGATTTTTGTCTTTTAAAAATATTTATTGATTTTAAAAGCAGTGGGTGACAAGTAGGGGGGATTCTTATATTCACTGGTTCACTTCCCAAATGTCTACCACAGCTGGGATTGGGCCAGGCTGAAGCTAGGAGCCAGAAACTCAATCTGGTCTTTTACATGGGTGGGCAGGAACTCATTCTGGCTTCCTACATGGGTAGCTGGACCCTAAGGACTGGAGCCATCACCTGTTTCCTCCCAGGTGCATTAGTAGGACATTGGATCAGAAGTGTGGAGTAGCTGGGATTTGAACAAATCACTTTGATATGGGATGCAGGCAGTTCCAAGTTGTTGCACCACAGTGCTCACCCCAGATTATTAGATTTTTAAAACTGGAAGGCTGCAATAGCTGGAGCTATGCCAACCTGAAGCTAGGCTCTAGGAGCTTCTTCCGAGTCTCCCACATGGGTGCAGGGGCCCAAGGACGTGGGCCATCCTCTACTGCTTTCCCAGGCCATAGCAGAGAGCTGGATCAAAAGTGGAGCAGCCAGGACTTGAACTGGCACCCATATGGGATGCCGGCACTGCAGGCGGCGGTTTACCCATTATGCCAAAGCACCGTTCCCTATCTTTGGATGAACACATTGAGTGATTGGGAACTTATTTTCACATCATGCAACTTATTCCATTTCCTTAATAAAGCATCAGAAAGTTCTCCCTTATCTGGCTGCTTATAACTTATATCCTCTAACTTCTGAGGAAGAGATAATTATTCTATCACCTTTTCCACATAGTAACCCTAGTAACCCTTCTTCTTCTTCTTTTTTTTTTTTTTTACCTAGGATAATCATTTCTTTGATAATTTATCATAGGACATAATTTGTGAAATGCTCACCATCCTACTTGTTCAGTCTCTATTTTATTAAAAAATTATTTGAGAGACAATCACACACACACACACAGAAAGAGAAAAGGGGAGAGAGAGAGAGAGAGAGAGAGAAAGAGAGAGAGAGAGAGAGAGTTCCCATCTGCTGGTTCACTCCCCAAATGCACCTAATGACTGGGACTTTCTGTATCACACCTAGGAATACAGCGCAGGTCTCCCAGGTGGATAGCAGGAACCCAGTTACTTGACCCATCACTACTGCCTCCCTGAGTCTGCATTAGCAGGAATTTGGAGTCAGGAGCTAGAACCAGGTCAAACCCAGGTAGTCCAAAGTGGGATGCTGGCATTTTAACTGGTGTCTTAACTGCAAGGCTAAATACTCATCCCCTAACTACTTCTCTTAAATGACTGTTTCAGTAAATGACACTGGGTTAGACACAATGCTGTTTGATATGCTAAGAAAAATGATGGAACTATTACCACTCCAAACGCATTGTATTTCTTAAATTTCTTTTGTATCTGTTACCTTCTTCACCTCACTGTTTCAGCAATGCTGTTCTTTCACTTCTGTGTACACTGACTTAAAGTGAATTATGGAATGTCCTTAGGTTTACTCTATGTTCTCATGTCCATTTATTCTGAACTTTATTTTTCCCTGAGTAAACCATCAACCTGTCACAGTCCTATTGGCCATATAACACACACACACACACACACACACACATTTAGGGACATAACAAGTGGGGCAAGTCACAATGGACTGCACAATAATATACTATTTAAGAAATAAACCCAGTAAATCAGCAGTTTTCAGTGGCTAATGATAGGTTGTCAGTATTGTGGGGAAAAAAGAGTTTAACAAACTGCTTGTTAACTATTTAAACCACTGGCTTCAGGTGGCCCTATTATTACAATAATCATATGGCAATTTTGTTAAAACAGTCCTTTAAAGACAATTAAAAATAATTTGGTTCTTGGCCTCAACAAGTTAGTTTTCATCATTCTAAGCAGAGAGTATGGTCTCTTTGCTTTCCAGTAATTTTTTCCTTGTTTCTTCCATGCATTATTCAAAAGTTTAGAGTATGTATTATCTTCAAGTGACCTTTGGGAATAGTTTGGAAACTATAGGTATTATTACCTCTTAGCCTGAATTTTATGAAAGAATGTTTATTTTGTAACGCATTAACAAAAATTGTTCTGGGTATAAAGCAATCTTGAATTATGAGCTGTAAACACAAAATGTGTAATCTGATGGTGCTAGAATGAATTGTCCTATTAGAAATATTTGTCACAAATAGAAATGGTAATAGCACATAATTAACTTTACAGAATTATAGTTATTTAAGGTTCTACAAATGATCATAACCATTAATATTAACATTAACATATTACCCACTATGAAAATAGCATAACATGTAATATTGCTTTTACCTAGTACTGTATCACTTATTTTCACATGTTATTTTCCAAACATACATTTAATGTTCAAAAATTCTAATACACTGATGACAGGTTTTATTCTTATTTTGCCCCAATGATAATCAAGGATTGGGATATTAAAGGATTGGTTAGCAGCGACCTTTCTAATAGTAAGTAGCAGAGTTTAAATCTGAACATGTCTTCTTGAAAGGACAATTGTTTTCTTTAACAAGTCTTCTTAAGGGAAAAATATTTCTCAGCCATCTATGTGATGGTGGTGACTGATTTAACTGATGGACGTCCATAATCCTAGTTTCTACAATAAGGGCTTTACCTGCTCCCTTCCTTCACCAAGATGATGGCAACGCGGATTTGTTTCCTGAGGAAGATCAGCATGAGGGTGATAGTCACTTCGGTGATGCATAGTAATACCACTTTGAAAATGAAAGAAGATACCCATTTTTGACACAAATCAGTTAAAAAAAAACCTTTCTCTTCAAACGTTAAGACTACACTTAATGATTATTCCTGTAATTCTGATACCTCATCATTTAAGCAGCACTATCTCTCCAAAACACAGATTTTTCAAATTCACTTTGCCAACCTCCAAGAACTGCAACTAAATCCAAATTAAAACCTTTAGTTAGAGCTTGAGCAAGTCAGCCAGACAGATTTCATTTTATCCACAAAAACACATCGCACCGCTTGTAGAAATTGGGAAACAGGCAGAGAAGGAAGGAAGAACTGCTTTTATTAGCTCTGTTGTAGATGCTTGTACTCTGTAGCTAAGTGAGTAAGAGAGTCCTACAAAAGAACCTGAGTTGTCCACCTTGCTCACCATGCCTCTGAATTGTCCTTGTTGACTGACATGGCAGACTCTTGACTGCCATAATTTTATCCTGTGACTCCACGTACCATGACCACTATGGATGGAACTAGGGTGTAAACCCAATCCAACTTGGCATAGCAGTCTAAGAATTAAAACTAAGGAAATCCACTTTAGTCTTAAATTGAAGTTTATCAACCTCTTGAATCAAGGGTTAGACAAACTTAACGAACTGCATCAAAACCACATATATATATCAAGTGAGTCTGCAAAGAAAGAATATAATGCATAAAGAAAAAGAAAGAAGAAGAAATCTTGGGTTCTTTTTTGCTTTTTGTTTTTGGGATCTAGGAAAATTTGAAAGCCCTGTTGCCTTCCTGTTTTTTTGAGTCTGAAGAAACAGTCTTAATTCTTAAAATAAACACTCCCTGTTATATTCCTCGCCTGCTCCAATGTTTATTTCTCTTCAGCTAGCTTGAATTTGTTTTTTATACTTGAAGCCAAATAGTTTAAATTATTATATTTCTATAATTCTAAGACACACCTTTAACTTCCAATAAGTTTTTAGGAAAAGTAAATAAACTCTTCATTAAATGTTCAATAATTTTAGGATGTATCTTGATTTCAGAAATACTAAAGAGTGATAATGGGTGGATCTTAAAATCAAGGAAACATGGTACCACTAATGACACAACTTGAGCCTATAAAAGAAACGTAAATATCCATCCATGAGAATTCCTTCTAGACCTCCCAGTTACATAGTTATTCTGCTCATTTATGAACACTTTCAGGGACGGAGAGCTCACTATTTCCTTATATTGTTATACCACTAAGATTCTGACACTATATCAGACATCAAGTTAACATCTCCAAGTAAATTGAAATCAGTTAATCTAGAAATGTGGCAGTATCTTAGTAGTATACTATCTCATTCTATATCTTCTTTTAGTTAAACTCAGTATACTAATTCCAGGTACATTTTATGATATTAAGACAGTAATTTGAGCTCAAAATTGTAGAGTGTACCCCTATTATGCTAAAATTATTATCTTCTTTGGATATACCTAAGAAAATCAAATACATAATAATCACTTTACATTCTAAAATTGCATTCTTAAAGAACACTGTATATTATATTTACACCTTCACAAAATTATATTTTCAAAATAATTACATTAGAGAGATTTTAATGTCTTTTGAAATTATATGTAGATTCCTCTTGGTATTTAAATATAAGCAAATAATAGAAACAAATCTGACACCTCAGAGAGCAGCTACAATAACTACACTTAAACAGGAGGAAGTGGAGCCTGGGGATTGAGACGTACCCAAGATCATGAAGTTAGTTAACTACAGAGACAGGAACAGAACCATCTCAAAACAATCTAGGATTCATAAAGTTATAATTGTTGTATTTATCACTCTACTTAGTTTAAGAGTTTCTGCCAATGAGTAGATTTTCACATTCATGCCTTTGTCTCTGGCACCTAGCATTTTGTCAAAACACAGAACAAGAAATCACTATCTGATAAGCGTGTTACGAAAATTGAGGCTCATTCGAGGAGAGATTGGTATTACAAGACTTGAAAATTCAAAAAAGCTTTTATTTTCCCTGAGCTCACCTTTTAACTTTTCCAATGGCAGATTCTGATCATCTCAAAGATTTTTGTATGGATGCTTCTTAAGAGACCACAAAGGGTGATTACAGAACTTGAAACTAAGATCCACCCAAGAGATACTCTAATACTAGAGGTGTGTTCTATTACATGATGGTGGAAACTTGTATCCTTTAGTAAGTAGATAGCTGAGGAGCTGTGGAATTACTCAAATCAGGAAAAGTGATGAAGATACAATTCCCAGGATGCCTGATTTTCATAGTTAAAAACGAAAAAGCTAGAAATGTGGATGGAACTAGGGTGTAAACCCAATCCAACTTGGCGTAGCAGTCTTAGAATTAAAACTAAGGAAATCCACTTTAGTCTTAAATTTTCTTCCACAAAATATTTTTAAAAATAATGTGAGAAAACTAGAGTGATCTAGAAGCAGGAAGCCAAAGACTAAGAGCTTGGCATGTTGATCTTGCACTGTTCAGAAAAAATGAATCTGGAAGGGACTCCTCTGAAAACATCTCCTAGAGCTGTGCAAGATTCTTTGCTAAAAAAGTTTTTTACTGGCAATATAGCTCTCCATGTGCTTTGGTCCCAGGAAAGTGGTGCTCAAGATGGAATATGTCTGTACTCTGGTCACAGGGAGAATGTTCTAATGGTGGAAACAATCAAAATGACACTCTGGTGACATAACATGAGCCCTGTCTTTTAAAGCCTGAGGATTCTTCAGCAAAATGGCAAAGTTTCCAGATTTATGAGGATGGGACCCAGTGTCTGGAATCATGAAACCACAGAATGATATTGCCTCAGATATGCCATGCCTGACTCTCTAATTTCAACAATATGAAGGTGATTTTTAAAAAAGCAACATGTAATTAGACAGTGTTTTTAAAATGTTGATTAAAAAGCATAAATTTCTGTGAAGTGCAAGGAATATTATAATAAAGTCATCCTAGGAATATAAGATCAAAGCCATCTCTGAAATCTCTTGCTTTAAGAATTTTTCAATATAACCCTTAACTAATTCAATAATCCAAGAAAACACTTCAAAAATGTGAATTTATTTTCAGTTACTTATTACTTACGAGTCCTATAATAACTAGTCTGTTCATGTTATGAAAACAGCCTCTAACATTTCTCTTTGTTTATATTAATGTAGTTTGAAAAACAAAGCATCTGTTTCATTTTAAACATCTTTCATAGATATAAAACTAATGTTTATAAATGTACAAAATTAAACCAGTTTAAGCTGAAGGCAAATGACTTGAGATCCTTATAAAGTAGTATTTTCTTAGATTATGCAGTGAATTCTCCTCAATGATTTTCTTCATTTACTGTAGCTAATATTTACCTTTATTACATTACTGATAAATGTAATTACCAAGTTCTACCAACCCAGCTTTCCTTTAGACAAAACTATACTCTCTCATTATTACAATTCTTAAGAAAAAAAATTGAAGTCCACTCACTCAATATGAACCATGTTTGCTTCAAATGAAAGTACATGTTTATATTAGTCTGGATCCCGATGTCATATATAGTTAATGTAGAACCTGGGTGTTCCTGAAGATTTCTGTATTCCTGGTAACAGTACCATATTCCTTGAAAAGAGTGAAAAAAATTAATATAAAATACAGTTTTCAAAAAAAGTAGAAGCTACATGTTTATAATGTATATCTAGATGAGATTGATCAGTGTAGTCATTTTTATAAAGACAAGATTCATATTTATACAGTAAATATTTTATTTGGCTCTAATGATCCAAATGACCCAAAATTGTATTGATATAAGTATTTCCAATATTTGTCTGTGTGACTTGATAACATCTGCCTTTAAATGTCCTTTTGACTAGAAACAACCTCAATGTACATCAATAGGAACTTGCTAAAGAAATTATGATACATTTGTTCAGTAGAAAGTTGTGTTGAAATGTGCCTAAAGGGAGATTTATACTCAATATCAATTTATTCAGTTATTTACTTATTATTTTAGTTCTATGAATTTTGAGGCTAATATAATAGATGCATACTAGTTTGGAATTATGTTTTTTTAGTGAATCAAATTATTTCTATCCTTAATGCTTTTTAATTCTAAAACCTATTTTTATGATATGGTTTCTATAGTTTGCTTCTGTTTAATTATTGCAAGTATATTTTTACCCTTTCCTTCACATTCAAGTGTTCTATTGCCTTATGTATTGTGTAACTTTTGTAAGTAATATGCAACTCCAACTATTGTGCTTATATTTTAATCTGAGCTAACAATTTCTGTACTCTAATTATTGAACATAATGCATGCATATTTAATATATTGATATATTTATACTAGGTTTTACCATTCTAATTTTGCTTTTCCTGTTCCACTTTTTGTTCACACATTGTTTCTTTTAATTCTTGTCTTCTAAAAATGGATCTGGATAAGATCCAAGATGGGTGAATAGTGAGAAGCCAAACTGACCTCAGTCACAGAGGGACATTAGAAAAAAAAAAAAAAGGATCATGTTCCCAGGGGACTGATTGAAAGCAATTTACAGTGGATAATGGACAGAACAGAACACAGACTCTTTGGAGTAACAAGGAGAGAGTCAGATACACTGCTTCCAGCTACTTCTGCATCTACATGACCAACTCTGTGTTGGGAAGTGTCACCTTCCCAGGGCAAGGTAAGAGGAGGCTGCCTCAGCTCTGGCCATTGGCAGCTTTGACTGAAGGAGAATTCCATGATCAACACTGGCTTCGAATCTGGCCTGGGAACCTGGTGGGGTGTTTGAGTGACTACTTTGCTTCATGAAGAGAGACCACATTGCTCCCTCACCTACCAAAGTGCCAGACTTAATCTGCTGAGGTGGAGCTGCCCCTGAACTATGACCTGATCTACTGCTGGAGGCTATTAAAATAGCTGGCAGGATAGAGAGTGGATCCCCTGCACTCTGTGACTGTGGGAATTCTCAGCACAGGCCAAGGAGTGGGAGGGTTGTGTGTTGTGTATGGGTTCCTGTGTACCCACTTGGTATGACTATGGAGACAGAGATCCCTAATTCCTGGAGATGGATTTCATGGAGGGGTCAGGAGATACACTACAGGGTGAGTCAGTGCTCTGTGCCTGTGTGCATGCCTCAGGGGTGGTGTGCACTGGTATCATGAGCTCACTCTAGGCTTGAATCAGCTGATTCATCCTGGAACGCAAAAAGGCTTGGACTGTGAACATACTATCCAGCTCCAACATCCCTTCCTCCTACTGACTAAAACCAGAGGTGGTCTACCACACCCAAAATGGGCGTCACTTTTGACTCTTGTCCCACCCACAAATTGTGAAAAGAGCACCATGGCCTTATCCAGCACACACCCCTGGAACTAATCCCCACCAAGCCCCAGAGACACATTGTCAGGGTATAAAGCCTTCAGTCAAAAAACAAAAACAAAAACAAAAACAAACAAAAAACAAAAAACAAAGGAAGGTTGAATGTTTCTTCAAAGGGGACACAATAATTCATTAATATTGGACTGTGAAGAAGGGGAGATCGATGAAATGCCTGAAAAAGAATTCAAAATAGTGATTGTAAGGTTATTCAAAAACCCAGAGAAACTGTTAAATGAAATTACCAAGCCAATATATGACATGGATGAAAAATTCAGCAAAGAGATAGAGATATTGAACAAAACCAAACAAATATTAGAAGTGAAGTATTCAATAAGTTAAGTAAAAACTACAATGGACAACCTTAACAACAGAATTGGTGAGGCAGAAGAAAGAGTATCCAATCTAGAAGACAGGTCTTTTGAAACATCTCAGTCAGACAAAACAAAAAAATAAAAGAGGAAGAAAAATTAGGAAGACTTAAAGTAGTTTTGGGATCCATGGAAATGATCAAAGGACCAAATAAAGAGTCGGGACTGGCGCTGTGGAGTAGCGTGTAAAACCGCCACTTGCAGTGCTGGCATCACAGATAAGTACCTGTTTGAGACCTGACTGCTCCATTCTGACCCAGCTCTCTACTATGGCCTGGGAAAGCAGTGGAAGATGGCCCAATTACTTGGGCCCCAGCACACATGTGGGAGACCTGGAGGAAGCTCCTAGCTCCTGGCTTTGGATCAGCTCAGCTCAGGCTATTGCAACCATTTGGGGAGTGGACCAGTGGATGGAAGATCTCTCTTGCTCGCTCGCTCTCTGCTTCTGCCTCTGCCTCTCTGTAACTCTGCCTTTCAAATACATATGTAAATCTTTAAAAAAAAGTCTAAACAGTACCTGAAGGTATAAAAAAAGTCTTAGAAAACCTATTCAGTGATAATAGTAAAAAAATTCCCCAATATGGAGAAAGATATGGACCTCCAAAGACTGGAAGCATATAGGATTCCCAGTAGGCATGATCAGAACAGATCCTTACCATGACATTATATTTAATCTTTCAAAAGTAAAACATAAGGAGAATATCCTAAAATTTACAAAAGATAAATGCCAGATCATCTTTAAAGGAACTACTTTCAAGTTGACAGTGTTCTCAAAAGAAAACCTAGAAGATCAGCAACAAATAGTGAAACAGTTCAAGTTCTAAAAGAACAAAATTGCCAATCTAGTTAAGAGTCAACAAAGCTCTCATTCGTAAAGGAACATGGATGCAAAAATCCTCAACAAAATAATCGAATCCAACATCACATCAAAAATATCATCAACCCAGATGAAGTGGGATTTATCCCAGCGATACAGGGATAGTTCAATACATGCAAAGCAATAAATGCTATATGTAACATTAACAAAATGAAGGATAAAAACCATATGATTATCTCAATCGGTGAAGAGAAGAGCATTTGTTAAAATACAACACATTTTCGATATAAAATCCTTAAATCGTGTATAGAAAGAACATACCTCAAAACAATCAAGGTGATATATGACGAAACCAATACCAGTATTATATTGAATGGGACAAAGCTAGAAGCATTTCTACAAAGATCCAGAACTAGACCAAGATGTCCACTCTTACCACTATTATTCAATATAGTTCTGGAAGTTTTAGCCAGAGTTATTAGGCAAGAAAAGAAATCAAAGGGATACAAATTAGAAAGGAGGTGTTAAATTATCCCTGTTTTCAGATGATATGATGTTTTATATATGGGGAACCAAAAAACTCTACTAAGAGACTATTAAAACTCATAAGATAATTTGGCTAAGTTGCTGGATATAAAATCAATCCACAATACACAAAATCTTACAGCAACAATACTCTGGCTGAGAAAGAACTTATAAAATCAGTCCCAATCACAATAGCTATAAAAAGATATAAATATATTGGGATAAATTTAGCCAAGGATGTGAAAGACCTCTACAATGAAAATTACAAAACATTAATGAAAGAAATAGAAGATACGGAAAAATTGAACAACCTACCATGTTCATGGTTTGGAAGAATTAATATCATCAAAATGTCCATACTATCCAAAGCAATTTACAGATTCAATGTGATTCCAATCAAAATACCCGGGACATTATTCACAGATCTAGAAAAAAAATCCTAACATTCATATGGAAACACAAGAGATCTCAAATATTCAAAGCAATCTTAAGCAATAAAAACAAAGCTGGAGGCATCACAACACCACATTTCAAGACATACTACAGGGTAGTTACAATCAAAACAGCCTGGTACTGGCACAAAAAATATACATGTAGACCAATGGAACATAATAAAACTCCGGAAATTGTTACACAAATCTAGAACCAATTAATTTTTTTAAATACAAGCTAATATCATTCCTTAGAGAAAGGACAATATCTTCAACAAATGGTGTTGGGAAAATTGGATCTTAGCATGCAAAAGAAGGAATCAAGACCTCTACCTTACAATTAACAATGGATCAAAAATCTAAACCTGAGACCTGAAACCACTGTATGGCTAGACAAAAACAGAGAGGAAACATGGCAGAACATCAGCATAGGCAAAGACTTCTTGGATAAGACTCCAGAGGCAGAGGCAATGAAAGCAAAAATAGACAAATGGGATTACATAAGCCAGAAACTTCTGCACAGCAAAGGAAACACTCAACAAAGTTAAGAATGGGAGAAAATATTTGCAAACTATGCATTGGATAAATATTAATATCCAGAATATATAAGGAACTCAAGACACTCAACAAAAGTCAATCTAGTTAAGAAATGGGCAAATGACATAAACAAGAATTTTCACAGGATAAAATAAAACTGGCCAACAGACAGATGAAAAAATGCTCAAGATCACTAGCTATCAGGAATTGCAAATAAAAACCACAATGAGGTATTATCTCATCCCAGTTAGAATCATCCAAAAATCAAAAAAATCACAAATGCTGGCAAGGATGTGGAGAAAAAGGTACACTACTACACTCTTGTTGGGAATGCAAACTGGTACAACTATTGTGAATGACCAATGGAACATTGGTATGGAGATTCCTGAGAAGAACATATGGAGATTCCCGAGAAAACTAAAATAAATCTACCATATGACTAAACTACTCAACTCCTGTGAATATATCCAAAAGAAAGGAAATCAGCATATGAAAGAGTTATCTGTACCCCTATGTTTATAGCAGCTCAGTTCACAATAGCTAAGATATGGAAGCAACATAGA